AGGGCTTCTTCGAGATTTTGCAGTGATTTGAAAACAACCTAGATAACCTGTTTATAGATGTTTAAGTTCTCAAAGTGAAGGCATAATCCATGGGAAACAACTACCTAATGGATTCTTTGAGACAAACCTACCTAAGGAAGAAACAAATTACAACAAATTACAAAGCCAACCCAGTCCCATTCTTAAGAACTGGACCTTGTTCCAAGCTTTTAGTCAACTTGAGGTGGGCTTGGGCTACCTTGGGTGGATTGGTCGGTCTTCAAAGGCTTTTGTTCATGATTGTATTTCTATATATATATATATGTATATATTGTATAAGATATTACACAATATAAGGGGATTAAGGGGGTGGGGAACAGAGCAGGGTGTGAGGCCCGTTGATTTTACCAGGAAGGTACCTGTTATTATGTAGGATTGATCACACACTTCTATATTCAGAGGGATGCTGCGTCACCATCTCAGCTATGTTGCACTAGGGGTGCAAGTTGGGTTGGGTTGAGGCCAATCCTAACCCAACTCAAGTTTTTAAACCCCCAATCTTAATCCTAATCCAACCCGATTGAGTTGTTGAACCCCAAATCCTAAAACTTTGGGTCGGGTTTAGATTGGGCTCAGGTTGGGTTTGGGTTGGCCAACTTTTCTACTTCCTTTTGCCAAATGTAGTTATTTGCTAGACTCTAAGGGTTTATATTAAATATAAGCATTATTACGTGTAAAAGACCATAGTTATCATGTTTTACAAAGAAAATTTTCTTGAACTTACAATTCTTGACATATATATATATATATATATATATATATATATATATATATAGATAGATAGATAGATAGATAGATAGATAGATAGATAGATAGATAGATACTTGCAGCAAAAATAAATAAATAAATATAGATATATACACTATGGATGCATAATTGCATGTGCATACATGCATGAATAGTGAATATGAATGAATGTACACAAGTACTTGCATGCATAGATACATATTTATATAATATACAAACATGCAAATATAAAGTTAAATTGAGTTCGGGTTGGTCAAGTTCTTAACCTTAACCAAACCTAAAGTTAAGTTCAATTCACACTTTTCAACCCTAACCCTAATTTTAACTTCAACCTAACCAATCCAATCCTAGCTTTCTAAGTTGGGTCAGGCTCACCCAACCCAAGTTGTATTCCTATGTTACATCTGGCAATTTCAAATGATGATGATCATGATGACAATGACGACAACAACAAAAATGGGAGTTTAAGTAGTGTTTTTATCAAAAACCATGCAACAAAGATAAATAATCAAAGCATGGTAAACACCTAGGTGGTGTTATATATATATACCACATGTGTGCATCATGTTTGTTGTATTCAAGCATTATGCTTTATTTTTACTTTGAAATGTACATTTAAAAAAAAATTGCCAAATGCATTTTACAACAAAATTACAAAAGTAGAATTTGAATAATTTGAATGCATGCTTTATATTTTTGTGGGAAAATCTATGATGCGGAAAAGATATGATATGGGAAGAGTTTTGACCAATCAAAACCCACCTATGAATTTTGATAAATAACACCTAATTGGCTACCTTATTTATAATTCCAGTTGATTGGTCAAAAGTTTTTCAGATATCATATCTTTTCCATATCATAGTCAAACCCTATTTTTGTACTTTTGAAAGTACAAAGCATGAAATCTATCCAAACATAACATTAGTTTCAAGTTTTCTTACTTGTAGCTTATATCAATGTTTTCAACTTGCAGGATTGGAGTACTACATAGACAGGTTGCTTGACCTATCACTAAACAAATTTCTGAGTATGTTTCAGCTCAAACTACATTGTTGTAAATAATCATAGACTTGTGTTGACAACTAGATGACCTTACATGTTAAACCGTTAACCTATTTGCTCAGAACACAATAATTCTCATTTTTTACACATTTTTGCTAAATATGATGAGCATATAATATTAATGAAATGCTTAATTTTTTCTATCATATTTTCTACATTTTTATTTTTCTTTTTTAATTTATGACATCATAAGTTGACTTGTTTAACAAAAAGGGAAATGTGGTTCTGATCGATTTTTAGAACATTGTTTTTTAAATATTTTTCATCTTGTGGTCAAATGAACTAATTGGATTGGTTGATCCATTGCTTGATCAGAATTTTGGGTCTATCAATGACCACCAAATTGTTCGGTTGTAAAAAACCATTGACTTTATCAACAACATGACCTACCTAATCAAACCATTGAACCATTCTACCTGGTTAGTAGGGTTACATGTTGAAATGCACCCATATGATGAATGTGTAATATTAGAAATGTGACTGTATTTTTACAATTGATTGTATTTCTAACTAATTTTTAAATTTTTACTATTTAAATGTGACATCATGGGTTGACCTATTTGACCTAAATGGTTTAATTGTTGACCCACTAGTTGGATGGAAAAACTATTTTACTCTTAGCTTTTTTTTTTTAACAAATTTTGTATTCCATTCCCATCATTAGTAAAAATACTTTTTAAATGTGACATCATGGGTTGACCTATTTTGACCTAGATGGTTTAATTGTTGCCCCACCACTTGGATGGAAAAACTATTTTGTTCTCAGTTTTTCTTTTTTTTTTTAAATTTTGTATTCCATTCCCATCATTAGTAAAAATACTTTTTAACTTTTACACTTTTTCATTTATATGACAAATAAATAATATTAGAGATGTGTCTAAATATTTTCTCTAAATTTTTGTACCTTTTTTTTACTATGCATTTCGATATAATTTTTAAATATTTATTATTTAAATATGATATCATGGGTTAATCCAATTGTTCTATAAGGTTGGACCATTGTCCAGTCACCTAGATAAGATAACAATTTCATTTTCAGATTTGTACTGACTTTTGTATTTCATATACAACATTAATAAAAATAATTCTTGTCTAACTTTTTCCATTTTTATATTCTTTCATAATTCATTTTTCATTTAAAAAATTTTATTATTTAATAATAACATCATGAATTGATCCATCTGGCCCAAAATTTTAACCACTGATCTGCTACTAAAATAGAAAAACGGTTTTACTCGGAACCTAAACTGGTTGAATTGCTTACCTAAGAGTTAGAAAAACTGATTTTGTCTCCATATTGGTTTTAAAAATTGATGAAGAACAAGTTGCTGAAAGGTTTTTGGAGCCCAAAATCACAAAAAAGAAAAGAAAAGAAAAGAAGAAGCTTCTTCCTATGCACATCTAGCTACATAAAAAAATATAGGTTTCTATATTGTTAAAATTATTGTACATAAATTTAATTATTAATAAAATTTAATGATGAAAATGAAAATACCTTAAATATAATATACATTAAATATGAGACTTAATAAAAAAAATGAATTTAAAAATAATATTTTCAAATTACAAATTTTACCCTCAACATAGCATTCATAATAAACGTCTGTCTACATGTTTGTGAATTAACCGTGGAACTTTCTACGCAAGAGACTTTACCAGCAAGGCTAGCTAGCTGGCACCTTCCCAATTAAGTTTGAAATTGGAGAGAACATATGGTAATATAGAATATTATAAAAATATTGTAATGCACATATTATATATAATATATCATAAATAAATAATATACATACATAAATAGGATAAATATATATCATAACGTTGTACGGGCTTGAGATGGCTTAATCTGATACTCTTGAGTTCAGGCTACACCAAGACTCAACCCAATTAAGTCTAATGTGAAACGAAGTACAATATATGAGTTTTAAGGCCTAATTCCAGTCCAGAGCCCAAAAATCTAAGCGTACAAGACTTTGGATTGAGTTGGGTTGGGGTCAGGTAGGGCCCACCCAAGTTGCAAACCTATCAAGAGTAACCTGCTACTGCAGGGAGAAAATGATCATTCTCTGTGATAAAATAGACAACTGTTCGTCATTTACATCGAGATTGTTGACTTTTTCCTCAACCCTAATAACACCCACAAACAAGACCATCAAATATATATCGCTTAAATAAATTTGTGGGGAATCTCTCTTGACCATGTTTGATAAGCATGCATTTTCAAAAAGATCATGTTTGACAGGAAAATTAACGTAAGCATGCGCATTATTATGATCAGTTTATTATATTTGTATAAGGACCAAGGTCTTATCCAAGTTCTGAACATTTTAGCTTCAAAATTTTGAAGAGAAATGGGTTTTAATTTGCTAGCAGTGTTAATGGCTTAATGCTTTCATCAAACCACCAAAAATCCTGAAAACTTATTTTTGCTATCTCAATTAATAAATATATAAGATGATGAATGGCACTGGTTGAAAGTAAAACAGATGTCACAGACTAATTTAAACTACGTACAGAAGTGTGCACGACCACATGTGAAGTGACTAGTAGTACTGAGTGAAGAAGAAGGTGAACCTACACCTAAAAACTATATATCATTGGGCAAAATGAATCTGATAGCAGTTCTACAGTCAGCAGTCCAAAGAAGAGAGATGAGAGGCAGAGGCTGCAGAGTTTGTAGTCTCCCTCACTCACTCTCTATCCCTTTTGTACTCATTTGCTTTGTTTTTTTGACGAGGGGGGTGGGTGGGTGGGTGGGTGTAAATGTATTTTTCAACTCACCTGAATGGCGAGTAGGTCCCATATTCCCTGGGTTCTTGTCTGCTAGACATTTATACACTAATGAGAGACTACTTCACCTCTTTGTTTTGCAACTAATATTGCTCACTTTGTTTTAACTCAAAAAGTAAAATTCACGAGTTACTGTAAATGATGTCTCCATTAAATAATCCATCACTGTTCTTGACGTCTGTTAGCTCCAGTTTTCTGGAGAAACACAGAGCGAGAGAGAGAGAGAGAGTTGGCAATTACGCGGATACTTCTAACCAGGATGCAGTTCAGCAACTGCTGGATTGCATTACGAGCTTCAACTCAGGAACATATATTAAAACTCTTCCCACCTCCAATTCCTAAATCATCATCATCATCAACAACTTAATTCCTCTCATCACTACCAGTACTACTACTACGACTACTACAACTACAACTACTAGCTAGATCTCCCAAGTTCACCGATGAACTACTTTCCCAGGACAAATTCCGATGGTAGAACCAATGCCGGTGGCAGCAGCGTTGCCAATGACGCAGATGCCAACCATTTGCTTCCTTGCCACCACCCGGTTTACCGAGGAGTGAGGCGCCGGAGCGGTGGCAAATGGGTGTCTGAGATTCGTGAGCCAAAGAAGCCTAATCGCATATGGCTTGGCACGTATCCCACCCCAGAAATGGCCGCTGTTGCTTATGATGTCGCGGCATTGGCACTTAAAGGTCCTGACGCTAAGCTCAACTTCCCCCTCTCTGCAGCTTCCTTGCCCGTTCCTACCTCAAAATCTCCCCGTGACATCCAGGATGCTGCAGCCACTGCCGCAGCTGCGGCTGGGGCGGCCATGGATTCTTTCTCAGAGTCGCCAGGGCCAGGGGGCCAAGCCAAGAACGACTTCTCCTCATCAGTAACAGTAACTTCCGATGCAAATTATTCATTGGTTTCAAATGACTACATTGACGAGGAGTTTCTCTTTGATATGCCTAATCTTCTCGTCAACATGGCTGAAGGAATGCTGCTTAGCCCTCCTCGACTGGGAGTGGTTGCTGCTGACGACGACGCTACCATTGAAAACACAGCCACTCACAACCTCTGGAGCTATCCTTAATTAGTCCATCCATCCATCCATCCATCCACATATAACTCTTCTATGCATCATCTATATATGTATATTTCAGAGATTAGCACTTAGGCTCTTCCTGTATAGCTAGATAGAAGTAAGTTGTCTATGAGTTGCTATTTTCAGTCGTCATAGATGTAATAATCAGTAATTGCACACCTCCTCTCCTTAATTAGCGATCGATCATGCATTAATAATAGTACTAAGTACTCCATCAGTATTTTATATCTATCTATCTATCTATATATATGTATATATATATATATAGATATATATATAGAAAGAGACCTGTGTAATAAGAAAGTTTTCCTGGCAGCTGCTGATTGAATATTGAGGCTATTGCACGGCAGATGTTCTCTTAATAACCTGCATGGCAACGACTTCATTTCCATCATTTCTAATATGGAACTAAGCATATAGTGATTAAAATTTCATCTATCCATATTAATCGGCAAAACCCAGTTCAGGACTTGAGACAGGAAATCTTGATGAATGAATGAATACCACAAGAAATAATTAATTGAATAATTTAATTGTGCCGTCTGCCCATCAACACAGGAGATGATTACTTGCAAAGCAGCCAAGAACGCCGCTTCTAAATCCAGATATATATACTCTATCTATCTCATGGATTGATGATTGAAGAATCTCTAGCTTCATCACTCCTCAAGCTGCAATACCAACTTGCATCATGGATTAGTGATATATATGAAATGAAATCTACTCTTCTGAAACTATGAGGTTGCAAGATATAGCTAGCTAGGAAGAGCTAAAGCAACAAATATCATCCCTTCAAAGCCTCTGAACCTATCTCTAATCTGCTTATTGTAAGTTGCAAGGTGAGGAATTAGGGAAATGAATAGCCCACAGATTACATCCCAGTTTGGTGATAAGTAGTAAAGAAAGTTTGGTGTATCAGTCAAACAGAATTATTAGTAAAGTTGATATTCTTATTGGGTGTGATCCCTTTAACCATGTAATTCACTTTACTTTATGAATTGTTAGTGTTAGTATTAGTGTAATTATTTCATGAATGGAATTGGTTGATTAGTATATATATTAAGTTGGTCTCTGTTGACGTGTCATTCTCAATATCTCAAGCTACGAAAGTGGCATTAATTCCATTATATATATGTCAATGCAGCTTGTGGTATATATGCCATATCATCTCAAGAGGCGTGCTGATGCTGATATCTCACCTTCCACAGATATTGATGAGATGGTCCAGGGTCCGGCCTCCTAAATAAATTAGTTTGGTGCGAATAGAGTTTGAAGTGTGAGCCTTCTCTGCGTATAGGACCCCAATTGGGTCAGCAATGGATTATTATTGTTCTCTCTAGGTCAAGGGTGTCCACTGACTGCCGGGATTGTAGTGATCTCTAGGTCAAGGGTGGGGTAGGGATTGTAGTAAAGTTGAAAAATTCAAGATTGAAGTAGCAGTGGTACAATACTGAGACCACAATACATTGTTGGTCATATTCATCCAGCCGCACGTTGAGAATATCGGTGACCACAACACAAATGATGTTGGATGGGTGAATATGACCCAGTAATGTGTTGTGGCCAGCAGATCCGATTCCATTTCAATAAAATGCAAACACTCTAGCATTTACAAGGCATCGCATAAACATTTTTTTATTAATTTCAAATGCTGACGCATTCATATTTCATAATTGGGAGTTGCATGCAGTAGGGTTACAAGAATTTTCTTTTTTTTTTTCCAATTCAACCTGCATTTAAACAAGTCTGCATTAGCTGCATTTGATGGATGTGGTAAGGTCTGTACAACCAATAATAACGCCCCATGTCAGCCATAAAGTGGATATGCCCCACCACCACTCAATCTCTCACTTGGCATGTATGGCTGATGTGGAGTGGGGCATTATTGTTGGTTACACAGCCCCTAGTACAACTATCAAGTTCAGCTAATCAGGGCTCGATTTTAAAAAAGATTCCATCCATGTTTGTAGAAAGATGTATTGTCATTGTGTATATATGCATGTATGTATGTATGTATTAAATTCATTGTCAATTCTAAAAACAAAGATTCCATGTGCCCCTGGTTGAAAAGAACATTGGTTCTTAAAACAAAAATACCAGAAAACTGTAATTTAAAACCAAAAATATATCCTTGAATCTGTGGTTTCAAAAACATGTTTTTACTCTTGTGCTCTGTTATTACATTAAACAAAGCATAAAATATTCAAAGAAAGATTCTGATTGAATGGATAGCTAGTTGATTTTTCTATTTTAATTTTATTTTACTTTACCCAAATCAATTAATTTGAATGTGGGTTAGCATGATTCGTACAAGCTTTATACCAGAACTGGAGAGTGTATAGCATGATTCGTACATTATTTTACTAATAATGTTATTTTTCTTACTTGAAACTATTTTTTTTTTCACTTTGTTTTCAGAAATTTTGTATTAAAAAACATGTATTTTTTCTTAATATTTTAAAAAGAATAAAAGCATAAACCTTCATGGATATGGAGAATATCATCAGTGAGATATGCTTTTGCCATCTTTTTTTGCTTACCTTTTGCTGATAGTCGTTTGCCAAATTAAAAACAAAAAAACTTCTGATAGCTGACTCTTTAAAATGAAAACAGATTTTGAAAATAGCTAGTGAAGATACATTACGTGGAACTCATTTTGTTGAGAAAACTACCTCAAAGAAAACGACCAATTAGCAAACACTACTTAATGTTGGGTTGTTTACCGGCCATGAGGTTTGTTTTTTGTCCTATTTGAAGGCTTCATCTAAATTTCAAAAAATGGGTCCCAATGGTTCTACCCTTAATTCGCAAAAGCATTGATTCTTAAAACAAAATAATGCATACATATTCTTGGTTGTTTTGGCTTGATTTATTTGCACTGGTGCAAAGGTATGGGAGTGCAAATTCTAATTTTTATTTTAACATTTACCTTATTTTTGTTGTTTGCATTGCAGATGAAATAAAGTAAAACCCTGAAGCAAAATAAATAAATACCCAAAGCAAAAGTTAACCATAATTTGCATTCTTCTCACTTGAACTCTCGTACGTTTATACTTTGATCCATGCATGTTCATTTGGTTGTGTGGGTAAGTTTAATTCATAAGAGCTTAAGTAAGATTTACAAAAGAACTTCAATGCATGGCTTCTTTTGTGTTTCATTAAGTCATTTATCTGGGTAAATGCACTTATCCAAGTAAGTGTTTTAGGCTGTATTGATTGTAATGCAAACAAATTTGTATTGATGCAAAACTATGGCAGTGCAAATGATTTGAGTGTAAATTCTGACCTATTTTTCTTTCAAATTTTAGCTTATTTTGTTTGATTGCAGTACAAATAAAGTAAAATAAGACATGAAGTAGAATAAAGCAAAACCCAAAACAAAGTTAAACCAGAATTTGTATTTTTTACTCCCATGTATTTGTACTAGTGCAAATAAAATTGTACTGCAACCAAACACAGCCTTATGGGAAAAACATTTAACCGAATAAATGCACTTATTAATATTCTTTTATTCCACAAGTAAAACTATACAATAACCATTTTATCCAATAAAGTGATATAAATGAAGGAATAATATTATCCCATCACATATTAGCAATTTTTGGCGTGGATGGGTAAATATTTATCCAAGTCTCATGAGGGTATTTTTGCCCAACAAATGAGTCGCTTGGGAGTCATTATTTTTAGTAGGATCCATTAATACCAAAATACGAACACAAATTATTTTTTATAGGACCCACCAACTTACCTGCCCCCACTTTTTGGAAAATGAATGGGGCCTTATGTAAAACAAACTAAATAATGGATCAAGCAAGCCAAGCATCTTTTTGTTGTTGTTTTTTTTAACTTTTTTTTTTGTAAATTTTTGTTGGTTTCAAAGAAGGTAGAATTTTCTGAACCAAGCTCAAAATATTTAAACCTTATTTTTATGAAATATATTTTCTTAACTAACAAAATGTTTTCATTTTATTGCTGATGTGGCATATTTTAAAAACAAGAAAACAAAAACATCTCAGTGTTGAATAAAATGCCCCATCAGTAAACATATGGTAAAGAGAAATAATATAGTAATAAAATAATTTATAACTAGAAAAAGAGTTTCTGTTTATAATGTTTATTAGTTAATAATAATTAAAAGAAATACAATAATAGAACATAAGTAGCACTTGATTGATCCTACTAGCTGTTTTGGGTAAAATTGGGCCCAAGATCTCCTGGTGGGTTTATGAACTAAATCACACTAAAACAGGGTCTGATATATAAAGAACTTGCTATCTCATTTGTGTTAATGAAAGTAAACTGCCTTCCTTTTTCTTAATATCGTAGAGTCTCTAAAAATATAAAAAAAAATGCAATTTTCCTGTTTTCAGATCTTTTTTGATATATTTTTGAATGCTAACCTAGGGCAAAAATTCATTCAACTTCAAACTTGGTTGGTGATCATATTAGAAACAAGAAAGAACAAAGCAAACCAATCAATGTGCCACACCATTTGCTTTTTTCTGCCTTTTAGAAAACTAGATTTCAATTTTATTAAACACCACCTTAATTAGGGCTCTACTTATGGTTCATTACATCACTTTTTTTTTTTTTTCTGTTAAAACATTACATTACATTGCACTAACGGAAGATATTAGTGCATCAAAGATTTCGTTCCCTTGTGATAGAATCATCATCATCATCTATGCTTCCTGCACAAAAAAGGGTATGCATCATAGTACCAAAAAACTTTGGCTGCCTGAGAACTTCCTGTGCATGACAGGCAACCAATATTTTTAATTTTTTTAGCCAAACAACCAAAGTTTCTCTCTCTCTGACTTCTGACTTACTGTGGAGTTACCCTTGTGAAAATCCAAAAAAGGGTCAATTTTGGCAGTTCCAAATAGAGTTGAAAGTGTTAGGACTTGATGTGCATGAGAAAAGTTCATACTATCACATGTCATTAATGTCTCTACAGTGTGATTTGTAGGGAGGGGCAGAGTTGCCGGGAGCAGCCTTTTCTTTTTGTTGGGCTTGGCTTGGCTTGCTAGACTAGACTATACAAGAAGACCATGCTACATTCACCAACTAAGTCTGGTTGTGTGAAGGATGGGCTGGGCATTATGTCGTCTCTCCAGTGGGTTGCAGGTGGGGCTTGGCCTTGGCCTGCTGGCCATTCTTAGTTTTGGGCTGGGTCTCTATGTCTGGCCCAGTGTCTGTACTGGGTTG